AATTTTTATTGATTAAAATATATTCCTTTTTTCATGAGACGTCATTTTTTGATCAATCGCCAAAATTAGTGGGAACTTATGCTATTTATAACTGAATTTATAAACTAAGCAATAAAAATTAGCTTATTTACAAGGGAAAAATTTGCAAAAATTAAATTATAAGAGGATCGAAATACAATACTTTTTTAGGGAAGCTTAATAGTAGTGTGGCAGGTTACTGAGTCAACTGCTTAACAAATATATATTTTAGCTAACAAAACCACATAGATTTAAAATAATTGTTACTTTAATGCAAATGACGTTTATACAACTTCAACCTTTTTATAAATACTGGAATTCGTTCTAAAAAGTACATTTAATATTGAGCGTTATATAACTTTTTCACAAAATAATTATGAATATGTTTATTTTTTGTGTAGATTATCTTATCTTGATATTATACTATTTAATTTAATTTGAATACACAAAAAGCTTGAACTCTCAGTTATTAAATATAATTTTCATTTAAATAGTGTTTCTATTGTATTGCTATACTTTAAGGAATATACTATAAAGATACAGCTAAAAATAAAGATAAAATTTTGGATCATCTTAATAAGTAATATGAAAATTCCTCTGTAGTGTCATTTAAATTAATTACATACAATAATTAATATTTTTATATAATTTTTGAATATGAGTATAAAATTTAAGAATATTTAATTAGTTATAGTTGTGCTTTTATTATTGAAAAGTTATTTGATATTTATTTATTTTTTAAAAGATAAGAAATATTTCTGAAAAAGATGGTGATGATATAAATGAGTCAATAAATCTATCATTATATGAAAACTGTGAGCAACTCTCATCTTTAGAAGATAATTCTGTCAATGTAAGCATATATTTTTTGTCTTGTATTATATTACACATTATTACACTTATATAACATACTTCTTGAATTGAAATTAAATAAAGTAATTTAATGATCTATTTTTAAATAAAATAAAATATTAAGATAATATTATGTATTATCTGTTAATTCAATTTTCTTTTTAAGAGAAATTTTGATTTATTGAAATTAATTGTGAATTAATGTTCTATAGTTTTTTTTTAATTATTATATTAAAGTATGGTAAATTACTTTATAATGTTTCTACATGTTTTAATTCATGTTTTATGGTTATCTTTAAACATATTTATTTTTAAGTTTATCAATTGATTATTTTTTATGCTATTTTAACTACAAATTTTAAGTTCATATATATAGGTTTTACAGAACACAGAAGGAACTATTTCAGAAGAAAAAATTGACAATTTGAGTGAGTCTGAAAATGTTTCTTCAACTAATGATGATAAACAATCACAATTACCTATCAAAAACAATTATCTTGTTAGTTATATAATTTCCAAAATTTTTACATAAAAATATATAGTAATGAATTATTTATTGATTTTGTAGAAGAATAAAAACAAAGTAGATGAGATAAGCAGAGAGACTCAGCGGCTAATTGCTGGTAATGGTCATGTAAGACTTCCATATCATAAACCTAAACAAAAATCATTGAGCGATTTTTTAGATAGGAAAAAACATCTTTTGGCTAACGCCTCAGTTACAGGATCACGAAAAAAACTTCAACGTGCATGGTCAGTATATTTATTTCTAAATTTGAAAATCAAATGTACATATTACTTTGAAATTCTAAATCCGTATTTTAACTCCCTATTAATTGAATTATGCCATGATTACCGTTAAATCTAAAAATTTAAAAATATAGTTTTAAAAATTTAATTTATGTAAAGTATAGTTATGAAGAAGAATGAAATGCTGGAGAAAGAATCCTGGATTTCGCAGTATCGAATGATCTTGCTGTGGTTAATACTTATTTTAGAAAGAGGGAAGAACATTATATAACTTGTAAGAGTAGAAGGAATACATACAAGAGTGTGGAAATTATAGAGGCATAAAGCTTATGAGTCATAGTATGAAAATTTGGGAAAAGGTAATAGATAAGAGAATAAGA